CACCTTGCTTGTCTTACTGAATGTTACCAGCTTCTATTGTTAAACTTGTTAAACTGTACTTTGCAAATACCCCACCTATGTTCTCTTCCTGTAACTTCCTGGTCTTGAGAATAAATGCTGGAAGAGAACCCCAATTCGTGGTTAATTTCCCAAATGGAAGGAATGCCTCTATCTTGAGGGTTCTGGGAGATTACCCCCTTTTTGGGGCTTCTCACTGCTCAGAAGAGATGGGCTTTGAGTAATCTTTGGTGGCTCCATCACCCAGGGGAAAAGGGGTGACAAATCGGTGGGAGGCAAAGCAACAATTATCTTTGATTCCTTTATTTTTCTCTTGCCCTGTTTCCATTGCATCAGCAAATGTGGCTGGCTCTTCTTCCAGAATAGCTTCAGAATCCGGCTACTTCTCACCACCCCCCTTCTCACCACCCCCACCTACTGTCACCCTGGTCCCCAAATCACCAAAATCTCTAGCCTGGATTGTTACAGGAGACTCCTAACTGGTCTCTCTCTTTCTTCCTGTGACATCCTACAGCCTGTTTGCACATAATGTAGTGATTGCTCCAAAATATGTTGTAATGTCACTCCTTTGCCCATCCCACATTGACTCAATTCTCATCTTAGAATAAAAACCAGTCTTTACAGTACCCTAGAAGACCCTATAGAGCTTGTTCCACAACCTCCCCACTAGTTAACTCTCTCATCTTTTTTCCTACTTCTCTCTCTCTCTTATGCACTCATCTCCAGACACATTGGGTTCTTCCTTTCCCATCCAGGAATGATCCCTCTACTATCACCTCTTGCAGGGGTTTGCCCACATGTCTCCTTTAACTCCCTCCCTGATCACCCAATTCATATTGCAGTTTCTCTCCAAAAGCGTCTTACGTTCCCCTCATGACAATGCTTTCTTTCCACGGCTCACGTTGCTATCTGACATACTGTTCATTTTACTCATTTATCTGTATTTATTATTTATTATTCCCAATAGAATATAATTTCCTTGGGGACTGGGATTTTCCCTTGTGTCCCTGTCACACAGGACAGTGTCCGACACATAGTGGGTACTTAGTAAATACAAGGATATTTCAAAAGGTTCATGGAGAGATTCGTATTACTTTCTAGTTCTATTTTTCCATGAATTTTTGAAGTACCCTCGTAATTGTGAAATAAACAAACAGCTAACTTGAGCGTGACACTTCAATCTTCACCTAACAAATTATAGATCTAACTAATGTTTTTCCAGTGTTGATTCTAAACGCACTTCTCAGGAATGACAGAGAAATACCACGTATCCTCCTGAATGTGTTAGAATGCTGTTCTTGCCTATCTCTCCTCTGGGTCTCATGATCTGGACTTTATTGGACTAGTCTCTGTTGTAATAATGCACAGAATTCTTAACTCTCTGCTGGCAAATGCTTAGACATTCCACTTTAAGTACTATATCTTTATCAACAATATTTCTGTAGCACTGTCCGTTTTATATACTAGAAATCAAGGAAATTAAATCCTCTTGTGCTGCAGAAGGCGTCCACCTCAGCTATCAATGAACGCAGAGACTCCTAGAATTTTATTTGTATTTATTTATTTATTTCTAGTTGAACCACTTCATGCCTATGAGAGGCCGTTATAGTATATATTCATGTATTTATTCCATTCTTTTGGTATAATCCGTATTATTGGCTTGAGTTTCCTCCAGGGTGGCCTACTTAGTAGCAGTCTAGTTATTTTCCGTACCAGTTACATATATGGTTCTTCCCCCAGAGAACTCCGGACGCCACACAGGAAATTCTGTACCTGGCAGTTCCTGCTGACCCAGCTGGAAGAGGCCAAATGACGCATTTCACTTTCAGGGACTATTGCTGGGTTTTCATATTCCCTGGCACTATAAATAGCACTTCAGGGAACACTCGGGTACAGCGAACATTTTCTTTGCAGTCCAGTTCAGTGTTTGCAGAAAGAAAGTCACACACCGTCTGGTTCGACGCAAGTCATTTTCCCCTTAGTGTCTCCTGAGCTGTGGATAGACCCACCCAGATTGTTCATTTGCTCGTGAATATGGCCTTCGCTTCAGCACATACTTTCGTGCCTTTGTTTATGCTGCTTTCTGTGCCTGGTAAATCCTGTTTATTCTTTGAGATACATCTCAAGTGAGAAAGCCTTCCCTGAGTTGGCTTGGCAGAGACGCTTTCTTGCTCCTCTGTGGGAGTCCCCGTAACATTTGGGGTGCATCTCTTCTGCATTACATTAGAGTTTGTTACCTAAGTCTGAATAGTGACTCTCCTCACTGCTCTCTTCACATCCCAAATTGTGCATCGTGAGGCCTGTGACCTTTGTATCCTTTATCTTTTCTCAACACTTAGCATAGGAAATGCTCAGAAACATTTGTTGAGTGAAGGCTGATTGTATGAATGAATGACATCGCAGTTACAAAGGGAAATAGAATTCATCTGAATTTGTTCCCAGCTTAATGCCTTTAAAATTAATCTTATATTTAGTTTGGGCTTTTCTATTTTCCCTAGCAAACAACCTCTACTATGTGCATGGCCAATCTAAGACAGAAAAAGAATGTTATATTTAAATGCGCTTCAGGGAGTTTTTTTGTTTCGCTTTTTTAATTTCAAAAGAAAGGCTAGTTTGGCCCTTACAAACTTTTTGGCATCGTTCTTTGCACATGTTCCTTTTTACCCGGCCCCGGTCTTCAATCAAATTCCTCCAAAGGGTCTGCTGTAAACAATGATTTTGTGAGCGGTTGTGTGTTCTTTGCAGTGAAAACCGGCCTTGTTTTCTGTTGCTAGGCAACCCCATTCCAGCTGCCATTGAAGAAATGCGCGGTGGTGGGAAATGGTGGGATTCTGAAGAACAGTGGCTGTGGCCGTCACATAGATGAAGCGAGTTTTGTCATGCGGTAAGAGAGAGCACCCGCAGCGCGGCCTCGGCCTTCTCTCCTTTCCCCACCCCTCCCGCAAGCCCCGGGCCTTTCAAAACCAGTCACCTGTGGTTCATCAGCTGGAGGACGCTCTTCAGCTCCCCTGCAAGCTCAGGAGCCAGGGAGTTCAGGAGATGGATAAGGGGAGAGAGAGAACATGCCCAGAGAAAATGCAAAGCCGGGAAAGCTCAGAGGTAACAGATATCCTCTCTGCTGTGAATAAAGGCAGCAGGGAAAAGTGGAAAACCTTGGATCTTATTTTAGATTATACAGTTGATTATACAAGTGATTAAAACTCTTTAAATTGCTCTTTCATTCAAGCTAGCTCTCTGTGCATAAGCATCTTAATATGTTCATTGTATTCCACGCCCGTCTTAGTTTTTCACAAAGGCATTTGTAAGTAGCGAGTGGGATTTGAAGAGGGATTGATCTGTGCGTGATTGGGAAAACTGAAAAGAAGGAGGGGGAGTAACTTTCAAACAAGGCGGAAGCTTAGTAAAGGGACTGAGAGTGGTGACGGGTACATCCGTTCCAGTGGAACACAGGAGGTCCCCCCAGGGGCATGGGAAGGGATCACTGAGACACTCCCAGCTAAGGGCAGCGACCATCGAGTTGTAGTGGCAGCAGCCCACACTGCTGAGTGATTTTGACCAGACGTGCTTAGCAGCCAGGTGTAGAAGCAAAGACGGCAAGTGACTGGATTAGGACAGGTTTGGGATTATCTGGGTGAGAGGCAAGAAGGACAGAAAGTGACAACACGGAGGGTTCTGGCTAGACAGAGTGTGGGCTGGATGAGAGTCCAGTGTGGGCCCTGCGACGTGTACAGGAGAGAGGCAGAGTCCAAAAGACGGGGTCATTGAGAGGCAGGAGGGGTTGGTGGTAAAGATGAGGGAGAAATGAAATAGTCAGAAGCCGGCATCAAGGGTGGCCCCCTGGAGTTAAGATGTCAGAGTTTAGCTTATCTCTGGGATAATCAGACATGCTGCAGAAAAAGAAGACGTTTGCCTTTGAGGAAGTGGAGTAACTTTGAGGATAGGCTCTGGGAGGTCTTTCAGGTGGACCCTAAAGTCTCACTGCAGTGGGAATGACTATGAGCTGGGTGCCAAAAGGCCCCGTGGCCAGGAAGGCTGAGGACCACAGCAACGCCAGGGCGGAAAGCTGAGCAAAGGAGGGGGGAGGTTTTGTGTTGCTGTTTATTTCTGAAAATAAATAAGTAACAGTCTAGGAGTGGCAAAAGGTAGCTGAAGGAATACTTAGCCACCTCTGAGCTCTGAGCTCTGTGGGGTCCAGGAGAGTAAAGATTCTACTTGAGAAGGTTTCAGGGGAAGCCATATTCTTGGGGGAGGGTCAAGTTCCCTCCAAGAGAATGAGAGTTAAGCTCCTTCAAAGATGTTTTATCTCTGTTGGTGAAGCCTCTGGCAGAGTGGGGAGACCTTTCTATACTGACCTTTCCTTCATGGAGGTGGCCCAGCATAGCTTTTCCAGTGTTTTCCTCTCCATGGCACCTTTTCTCTTTTTTTTTTTTTTTTTTTTTTGCTATATATACAAATGATAGGAAAATGGAAAAAATGAAAATGTAGCTTCTCTTTATCAAGTCAAAGCAACATCTGTTTACTGAGCACCTGCTCAGGAAGGTGGATCTTAATCCGGGTCTGGAAATGGTATGTTGAGAAATTCTGTCGTGCACTTACATGCTGGAGATGTGCTTGCTATGACGGGGGGAATTCAGAAACAGAGAGTGCGGCAGCAGGAGCTTCTGAGCACAAGTGGTGCCTAGGCTGAGTCCTCTCTCCATGGCACTCTGGGCAGAGACACAGCCTTTCCCAAGGCTATAATGTGGGAAATACATCAGATGCAGCTGCATGTGGGAATAATGCGGGGAACGGCGTGAGAAGGAGCTGGAGAGGTGTGTCAGCCACAGTGATTAAATCACCTAGAGAGCACGCAGAGATGGGAACAGCGGGGCTCTGGGCCAACCTCAGGCACCCACTCCGATGTTTTGGCATTAGGTGAGGCCGAGGAGCCAGCAAAGGACACTGAGGCCTAGGAGGACAAGCCCTTGACCTTAACTAGGCCTGTGACCTACAGCACGTCATTTTACCTTTGCTGAGGCTCAGCTTTCTCCTCTGTAGGGGGAGGTGGGAGTAGACAATTCCTCAGGCCTTCCCCTGCAGCAGCTCCGATTCTGTGATTTTATGATGTTGTATCACTGTAGCACAATTTATGTAGTTCAGTTTAAATTTTCAGACTGCTCTCAAGTATGTTTATTTGCTTTTTCCAAAGACTACATAAGGAAGAAGGAATAGATAATATTAAACTCACAGATTCAGAGAAGTTTAGTGATTTCAAGTGGTCAGACTACAATGTAGAAGGAGCCAGTACAATAAGTGTGTTTTTATGTTATTTTTGAATGTGTACGTTTGCGTGTCACTACATTTAGGAAGATGAATATGTTAAACTTAACATGGGGAAGACCAGGCCTAAGCACCATAGGCAATTATCCTGTGGGGCCGTATTTATCACAAATAAACAGGACTAAGTTAGCTTTGTATACAATCTGGTGTGTTTATATTCAAGTTCAGAATTAATGAGTATCCAGTATAGTGTTAATCATAATGCTTATAGAATGATGAGGGAAGTGAGGATTGAAAAGAATTCGAAGAGGATAGCATCAAAACTGGAGCTATGTATGCTCAGACCTTCGATTTAATTTCAAGAATAGCCGTTTTCATAACACATTTGAATTTTTAAAAAACTTTATTTGTGGTTTACAATATGGAAGTAATAAACGTTGGTAATTATTTTAAAATTAATACTTGACCCTTTACATATCTATTTATAAATAGCTGCTTAATACATATTTTGGACATATCCTGAGAAAATTGAGGTCATATCATATGTATTAAAAATTAAACATTTAGTGAGTAAATGTGGATTAGAGGGCACATGGTGTGTCCGGTCATAGGCTATAGGTGCATGGACAGATACAGTGAGAAACGAAATCCGAAAATAGCCCTACCTGTACTCAGAGATATACCAATTACAGTTCAATTGTCTTCCAGGACTAGAATATAACAATTCCATAATTTTCTTTGCTTAGATGATTTCAAACACTTATGTCTTCTAATGCCAAAAATCAATTTCCCATTGTCCAAAGTTAGCATTTGCTCTATAACCAAAAGCCATATTATAAAAAGTAGTATTGCTTAATTCAATTTATCTGGAAGGTCTGCAAGATGGAAGTAACGGTGATTGCATCTCTGAGAGGAACTGGGTAGCTCAGGGACACAGTGAGGACAATATAATTTCGGTCCCTTTTGAGTTATGCTCAGATGCATGCTTTGCATACTTAAATATACATAAAATTTGAAAAGTGATTTAATGATTTTCTATTTAAAGATTCCTTTCCACGTAGCCCATTGTCCACCTACCTCCACTCCCTAATTCAAAGAATATTCATTTCTCATCAATTTTGTGATCAGATCTCTTTTAGGATCATGAACATAGTTACTAAGACACTTTAGCTATGAATGTCTATTAATTGTGCCAACAAGCAATAATGTAAAGTTTGAAACACTTTTACACAATTATGCCTTATTAGAAACAATTTGATTGTATTAAATGTGCCTTTTATGTAAATCCATGTAATTATCAATTTAGGAATCGAGGAGCTAAAATTATAGTGTTCTTTCCTAAACAGAGATGCAGGAAAGTGTCACAGATATTTGTACTTAAAGAGAAAATTTACCTCAAAAAACTTAAGGGAGATATTTGCACCAAAATGTATTGTCATTTTTCCAGAATGCACTTATAAAATATTATCTTTATTGTTTTAAGCATTTTCCTTTGTTATAGAATATAATCAATATCTGAAAATTTTTCTCGAGCTTTTACTCTGTGCTAGGAGGTATGAAGGGACCTAGACACATGCACCAGACAGAAAAACAAAGTATTTACTCATGAAAAACGACTTGTTTCATTTAATAATGACAAAACAGGTTAACAGCACTCACTGGCAATATTCAGAGTGTACAGTTTTAGTATAATGTGGTTGATTCTCACATGTTACCAAGGGCAGACAAGATCAAAGCTTCTTTAAGAGAGAAGAATCCAAATTATAGTCTGATTTATATTGGAAATCATCTTTATCTTCACAAAGATCAGTTAAATCACAAGACTGCAATCAGTCCCACAGGCGGATGAGCCTGATTGCTAATGCACAGCTCCCTCCCTCGTGAGAATCTTCAGGAAATGGCACAGGATGTGATACCACCACCAGACTGCAGATGCCTAAGTGTAGGCTCCATGACTTGGGCTTCCCCTGAGCTCCCCATAATGCGTGTTGTGTTTGCTCTCAGTGGGTCTTTAGCAGAAGTCACCGACTGGCTGACTTGACTGACCTGTGGGTAGCCGCCAGATTACCAAACAGCAGATGAAAGGAAGATTCTAAATCAGCAGAGACAAGTTTCTGCCTGGGATGTTCTGATGTGGCAGGAGTCACAGGGTAAACACAAGACAAAATCAAGGAACTTGAATGATCAGCTGAGTGAGTACATGGACAAGTCCATTTCCTGTAAGAAATTTACGGGGAAAATTTAGTAGTTGGGGAACTGGCAGAGACCTTAATATTTGTGAGATATCTTTACGTACAAATAAGTGATGCTTTGATTAGCTGAGTTGATAAAAAGTGAGAGATCCCCTGAAATATAGGAGTCAAGTTAGAAATACGGATGGAGAGGATAAATTAGGACACAGCAATAAAAGAAAACCTAATGGAAACTATAGGATCATTTGGGTTTTCATAAATAATAAATGTATATTTAATTATATTTACACGATATTTCTAACTTGTGGTATTTTTGAGCTTTTCCTATATGTGAGGCATCAAGGTACAGACTTCTTAAACATTACTTTTTTTTTTTTTTTTTTTTTTTTTTTGACCGGTCAGGGGATCA